AAAAAATGCAACCAAATCAAACAACATTACATGATGAACTAGACATCGAACGTCAGGAGATGTCCGATGTAACTGCAACCATAGAAACTACAAAAACTGTCGATAATCAGTTTGTTGAAGACAATAGCTCCTCACCGTCTAACGATACCTTATTACATGGTGTTGAATTATATTTAGTTGTTCTTGGGTTCGTAGAGATTAATTTTCCGTTATTCTCATTATATGACTAAGTTATTAATTTAGTTTCACTTGCGTATCATATTATAGTCTAGCATGTGCCATGTTTGTGGCCTTCCTAGATCAAACAATTGTTTCCACCGCTGTACCTAAAATAGTTTCAGATTTTAATGGATTGGATCAATTGGCATGGGTTGCAACGTCTTATTTACTCACAACGGTAATAATATTCTACATCAATTCCATTTCGTTTTAAATTATGCGTGATACTTACGTGAATCATGCCATCAACATAGACTTCCTTTCAACCAATATATGGAAAATTATCTGATATTTTTGGTCGTAAAGCAACATTCTTGGTCACAATTATCATTTTTGAATTGGGCAGTTTGTTATGTGGTGTTTCCACAAATATGGTAATATAACTTCTTTTTTTTTTTTATCTTTTATTTTCTCAATTCTTAGTTCGAATATTCATCACATTAATTTTTAGGTTTCGCTGATAATATACCGTGCAATTGCTGGTATCGGAGGTGGTGGTATCATGGGGTGCGTATTTCATTACCTTCATTACCGTATTGATTTATATCAAATTTTTATGCATACTAAATTTTATTTTTCTTTTTTAGTATTGTCTTAATTATTATTTCAGATATTGTTAGCACTAAAGATCAGGGAAAATATCAGGGTATCATTGGCGCATGCTTTGGTGCTGCTTCCGTAGCAGGCCCTCTCATGGGTGGTCTTTTTACTGATAATGTTAGTTGGAGGTATGCATGTCAAGGATAGTTGCCTAATTTGATACAAAAAACCTAACCATATTATTATCGTTTTATGTTATGTCAACTGTAAAACTTATCATAAAATTTATTCCCCCCAAAAAATAGATGGTGTTTTTTCATCAATCTTCCTTTAGGTGCAGTAACATTAATCGCTGTAATTTGGTTTCTTCGCCTACCAAAACCAACCGGTTCATTACTTGATAAAATTAAGAGAATTGATATTATCGGCACCATTGTAATAATCTTCGCAACTGTTTGTATCTTATTACCTCTCAATTGGGGAGGCAGTACTTATCCTTGGAATAGTCCCGTGGTTATAGTTCTTCTATGTGTCGGTGCATTAGGTTACGTAATATTTGGTCTGGTTGAAACTTACGTCGTTGCTGAACCCATTGCTCCACGTAAGTATTCATGGCTTAATTTATTTGCAAGAATTATTATAATAATTAACCTATTATATTATTAGTATTAACAAAAATTTTTTCTTCTCGTTTATTAGCACATTTATTTAAAAATCTTAATGTAGTATCATGTTTCTTCGCAAGCTTTTTTCAAGGAATGACATTCTTTAGTTTGATTTTTTATATACCACTTTATTTCCAAGTTGTAAAAAATGCTTCAGGCAAGTATATTCTATCAACTAAATCTCATTCGCTCGCTAAATATCAACTAAATTTATGATTTTGTTTAAACAGCCACACAATCCGGAATAGATTTTATGCCTTACATTCTTGGTGTAGTAATTTTCTCAATTATAGCAGGTCAAATATTTTCTCGAACAGATAAAATAGAGTATCGATTAGTTACTCTAATTGCTTCGGCATTGAAAATAATCGGTTCCGGATTAACCACTATGTGGAATGAAAACACCGGATATGGTGAATTTATAGGATACATGTTAATTGGTGGTGCTGGAATTGGTATAAGCATTCAATCCATTACATTATGCGCTCAAAGATTGGTTGAGCCGCAGGATATAGCTTCTGTTACTACTATAACATTATTCTTTAGAAGCAGTAAGTGTTCAAAAAATAAGTTTAGTTTTTTTTTATCAAAATTATTAAAATATTTTACTAATTCATTGTCAATATTTTTCTTTCTAGTTGGAGCTGTCCTTGGAATTGCAATAGTAGGAACAGCATATAATAATAAACTTTCTCAAGAATTAAGTACTTTAACATTACCTCCATCCTTTTCAACACAATCCGTATATACTATACAAACATTACCACCAGATACACGGTCATTAGTCATTCACGCTTATGTTTCAGCATTTCAAGTCACCTTTATGATTACCATATTATTTGGAGGATTAATGTTTATTTCATCGTTGTTTATGGGAAATAGTAAACCAATACATAATAAGGATGGAGAAAAAGTCATTGGGATTTCTGTACATTAGATTTTTTTATAGATTTATTAACTCCCCTAACACTAGAGTTTCGACTGAATATTTATGCTATGTTAAACAATTATTTATGCATATTAATCTTAAATAAATATAGATGATTATAATTGTATATATTAAAAACAATTATTAATTAGCAAATACGAAGAGATGATAATATTTCATACTATATACTGTTATAACTCTTAGATATATTTATTAACGTTATGTTTAGACATCTGTTTTACATAGGGCTGTTAATCGATCCGGACCGACGATCCTTCGGTCCATCCAAGGATCGGGTCGGTCCGGTCCTTTTTAGGATGGATCGAAAGGATCGGTGGTCCTAATAGTAATAAATAGAGAAATTTATTAATGACAGCAATGGAGTGATCAGTTGATTTACAATTTGCACTATATTTGCGCGAAATAACGCCTATTGGTGTTATTTTGGAACACGAATTTGAAACAAGCTAATGATTAATTTAGCCGAGGATTTTTAATGATAAAAAATTATGATTTGCATTTGGCTAAATTAACTATTAGCTTGCCTCAAACTTATGTCTCGAAATAACGTCTATATGCAAATACAGTATATTGTTCAAATCCAAATTAAGTGTAATCTGCTCGATCTGCATGTAAGTTATATATTCATTATTGGCAAATTATAGATTATCAGTTTTTTTCAATGTCTGATAATTATTATTGCTCGTCATGTGCCCCTCCTCGCACACAACAGTCGTGACCAACCTTTTTATACTTATAGTCACGTCCT